CCAATCCCTAGAAGGTCATTGGGGGATTTGCTCAAGAACTGCATCTGCAACATGGAATTACGATGAAGAAGATCTTCAAAATGTTCTTTCCAGCTAAAATTAATGGATTCATTGTCCTTCAAAAGTGTGGTTCCATCCTTTGAACAAAGAGGGTTCATGCCATGATAAGCTGGTCCATAAACAGCCTTAATAGCGCTAAAGAAATCACGAGTATTATGGGTATCCACAAAATGTTGGAATTCTTGCGCTTTCTCAGTCCACCATTTGTTCTTGAGTTCTCTGGTTTTACGCTGGACTTCACCTTTGTTTTAGCATAGGCTTCTCTCTTTGTCTTGCAATTTATATCATTCTGCCAAGCACAAAATGCCATTCTCTCGTCATTGATGTGCTGCTCAATTTCAACATCATTCTCATCACACCAGTCCTGATGCTGTCTGGTATAGTCACCAATTGTTTCCTCACAGGTATTGATGATTGTTGCTTTCAGCTGGCTCCAATGTTCCTCAATTTCTTCTGGAAACTCTGATAGAATCTTTTCTTCTAAGACTACTTGAAAGTGATCATGCTTAATGCAGTCCTTAAGATCTTGAACCTTCAGCTTGCGCCTGATCTGTTTCTTCTGCAGCCTCCATTTGGGGGCAATCTTAATATTTACTGTGGATCGAATGAAATGATCAGTCCAGCAGTCATCAGCACTTGTCATTGCTCTTGTGAGAAGTATGTCACTACAATCTCGAGCATGAACTATGACAGGGCTACTCAACACATAGCCCACAGGCCACATGCGGCCCATGGCCTGTTTGCTTGCAGCCTACGGGTGGGAGCTAAAACAAAAAAGTAGTCAATACTCTGTTGATATACATTTTAGTAGTTACATTCCTGGACTGTCATTGCTCATTAAAAGTGCTGACATATGGGTGGAAATAGGGTAAATATTGCATTTTATTAATATCAGCAGAACTGACTTAAATGGGGCCGGTGTGTTGTGTAGTCTTGCCTTAATTTTGTATTCATGCCCATCACTGCGAAATAAAATATTTGCATATATATTTGCACGTATATGCAACCACACTTAAGTTGTGGCCCTCTGCATGTGCTGTGAGTATCACTGTGGCCCCCTGGGCTTCCAAAGTTGAGTAGCCCTGAACTATGACATAGTCGAGAAGATGCCAGTGCTTGAACATGAGTGTCTTCAAGATGTTCTGAACTTATCTTTGGGTCGAAAAAGGGTGTTCGTGGTGATAAATTCGTGTTCAGCACACTTGGTCAGGAGCAGGATACATTTGAGTTGCTTTTGTCAGCTCCTCCTTTCCCGACTGTTCCTTTCCACAGGTCCGAGTCTCATCTAACACATGCATTGAAATCCCCCAGAAGAATGATCTTATCTTCTTTAGGGGTCTCCAATAAAACAGTTGCCAGCTGAGAGTAGAAATCCTCCTTTACATCCTCATCAGCATCCACTGTTGGCACATAGGTGCTCACAACAATTACCTGTTGGGTTTTGGTGGACCTCAATCGGAGCGTCATAAGCCGCTCATTGATGCCTACTGGCAGCTCAGAGAGGCACCTTACAAACTTGTTCTTGCCTACTTCATACAATAGAGGTTCATCAAAAGATTTTTCCTTGCAGATGTAGTTGTATCCTCCCTTCTTCTCCCTCACCTGTCCTTCATCAGCTCTTCTAGTTTCGGTCAAAGCAGCAATATTGATGTTAAACTGATTCTATTCACAAGCAATGATAGCTGTATATCGCTCTGGTCGGTCACTGAGTTGTCCATCAGGATACGTACGTTCCAGATTCCAAAGATAAAAAGTTTCTTACATTTTCAACCACTGGGGTGGTGATCCTACTGGATGTGGGCTATCCAGACAGGAGGAAAAGAGACAAGACTATTTTTAGGGCACTTCTAAGCCTCCTCTCCATGTGGGGTGAGCAGAGTAGGTCCTAAAGAAGAATGCTCAGTCATGGGTGCAGCAGCTGAGATGCTTGATCTGCCTCAGTCCTCGACCAAAACGACTGAATCACACACCCATCACCTATGTCGGTCAGTGACTAGGGACTTTCAGATCTCACTCTCCTGTCCCCGTCACACTCACCGATCACCACTGGACTTTTGACATATGCAGGTGTTGTATTCCCAAAAACTGGAAGATGCCTGCATGGGACTTCTTTGCCAGTCTGCAGTATAAAAAAAGTTGGGAACCACTGTATTATTGAATGTCCAGGGAGGTTAAAATGTTCCCCAACAGGTTTATGTGGATTACTGGATTATTCATTTCCGGTTGCGATGAATAAGAGTGTATTTAGTGGAGCTATTTAATATAATAATACAGAGATGGTAAATCAGACACTTTTGTTTACCCTTTCTGCTAATACAAATACAAAGTGATATGCAATGACAGTGAAAGAAAACAAATGTAAATTAGATAAGCTTAGAGCTGGGCTTGTTCTCAGAATGTTATTTAAGATTTGTTTTAGGATTTTAACCTACATGTACTATGGTTTCATATTATTATTATCTATGTATAATTTAGAGATTTGTGTGTCTGTCTGCGAGTCCATCTGTTTTCAAGTCCATTTCTTCAAGAACTCCTAAACAGTAAGAGCTAGGACCACCAAATCTGATATACAGTTCCCTAACTTAAAGCAAGGCCAGGGTTTGATTGTGCCAGGAAAACAAGAGGTGTCTGAAATTCAATTGTTTTTACATAACATGGAAAGGGAAGGGGCAGAGAGGAGGATACTATACTCACAGTCACTAATGGGGGCAATAAGCACAGGGAAAAGCTGCACCACCACCAAAGTGGCCAGCTGGGGACGGGGCTTGTCATCTTGCCTGCCACCAGCCCAGATAAGTGCCCCAAACTCCTTCAGGCCCTCAGCCCCAGCGCTGAACCAGGGAGGAAGGCCAGGAAATGACAAGTACATCTTCTAGTTATTAACAAACATAATGAGGATACCTCTACTCTTGTTGTAAGCCCTTGGAAAAATAATGACAAGAAAGTAGTCAAGAACTCAGCCACACATCTCATCCGAAAGATGGCACCTCCTGTGGCACAAGATTTCCAATACCCTGCCAGAATGCACTGGTTCAATATTGATTCAGATGGAAGAGAGCCATCTGTGGGAATCAAAGTGTCACTTAATACAGTTATTTGGGTTTTCTTCAGATTGCACAGAATTTATTATATCAAATCCTACCTAGTTTATGAAAGCTAAGACCCTTACATTCCAAGAAAATACTAATGCATGTTTGAGACTCTATGACCTGTCCATTTAGCTAAACATAATGGCTATGTCTACACTACAGTGTTATTTTGAAATATCTTATTTCGAAATAATGCATCTACACACAAAACGCATTTCAAAATAGCATGTCCACTGAGTGGACTCTGAATCACATTTAAGGCCAGCCAGAACCAGTTCCAGCAGGGCACCAGGTCAGGACTTACTGTGTGGGGCTGCTGCCTGAGACTATTTGAGGCCTGTGCTTAAAGGGACCCCCGCAGACAGCCAGTTCTCAGGTTTCCCTGCTTGCTTGTCTACCTCGAGGAGGATCAGCAAAGCATTTTGTCTCTTCGTGCTCTGATTGCCCTCACTCGGGACACCAAAGCACTCTGCAACATGGAGACAGAGCTGCCCCTGGGCACTCTGGTGCTTCTCTTGGATGCGTTGGTGCATGCCTGGCTGCACTTTCTGCAGGTTGCCATCCGGAAGGTCCATCGGGGATAGGGGGTTGTCAGTATCCAGGAGGCCCTGCTGGAGAGCTTCCACCCTGAGGAGCACTAAGAGCCTCCCTGCTCTGCCCCACTAAGGTCTTGTACAGCTTTGCTCTTCTCCTTCCATGAATTACCCATTTCCACCATTATACAAGAGTCCCAGTACCTGTGCACCTGTTCCCTTCTCAGAGCTTGCCATCCCCACTGTGAAACACAGTGCACCTCTCTCAAGCACACTCCTCTCTCCTTTTATGTATCAGCTACCATCAGGAGCTCCATATGCCAGATGCCCCCAGTGAGAAAACAGGGAGTCCCTTCAGGGTGTTTTAGAACTTAGACACAGCAAGGAGCTTTTTCCAAAATGATACCAATCCATACACACAAGGAGAACAAATAGGGTTGCCGGGTGTCTGGTTTTTCACCCGGACAATCTGGAAATCACGTCTTCTCTCCAATTAAAATAAAAAAACAAAAACAAAAAATACCGGCCATCCAAACCTGAATAAAGTCCGTGATCTCCGCCCTGGACCTGGCAGGCTCCTGGGAGCTGGCAGACTGCTACTGGGGAGTGGTGGAGGGCTGGTGGGAGTGCTGGCTGCCAGTGGCTTGCTGGCTCACGTTTTGGGGCCACTGCATCAGGGGCAGTGACTGCTAGGTCTGGGCTGGCAGGCTTGGGGCTGGCACAGGCACTGTGGCCAGAGACTACCCCTTTAAGCGCTCCGGGGAGGGGGAGAGAGAGAGAAGTGTTCTTGGTTGAGGCTGGAGTGGCCACCAGGGCACCCCGGGAAGGCTGGAGGCCTCCAATTTTGAAATAAATGTCTACACAGCACTTATTTTGAAATAGCTATTTCGAATTGGGCGTTATTCCTCGTAGAATGAGGTTTACCAAATTCGAAATAAGCGCTCCACTATTTCGAATTTATTTCAAAATAGCAGTTTGGCTGTGTAGATGCTAGGAAAGTTATTTTGAAATAAGGGCTGTTATTTCGAAATAACTTTGCTGTGTAGACATACCCAATTGGTGAAATTCCAGCTCCACTGAAATCAATGGCAAAGTTCCCATTAACTTCAATGGAGTGAGGATTTCACCCCAAACCAGAGGTGAATGTAAGTGGGCGCACCCTGGTGTGCAGCTCTGGCAAAAGCCAGAAGGGAGCTATTTAAAATGCTGGCAGGAACCCGGGTTGCAAAAGAACAGTACCCATAAAAAATTTTAAGTTACCTTCACCGCTTACAGCACCAAAAAGAGATAGCTTAGCAAAACTAATCACATTTCTCACCCATGAGCATAACAGATGGTGCATTTCCACAGGTGATTCAGGCAGACACGACATTCAGAGCACACTCGATGACTGCATCCATTGCACACTGCACCTCTATTCATCACCAGTCCTAAGGATTTCTGACAGCGAGCACAGGATCTTTCATGGTATTCGTGGTTTACACTTTTTGCCCCTTTCCACCGAAGTTGTTGCAGCTGCATTTTCAATTTCCTGTCCCCAGCAAGTAAATAAAAATATGTTCAATCTCAAGATGATGTTTGCGTCCAATAGCGATAACAGTTTATAGACAAAATCTTCAAACAACAGTCTCTATTTTTACATTGCCTGAAATCACTTGCATGCAGTATTTTTTTACATTGCCACATATACATGTAACCCAACTTGTGTGCATAAACAGATTTCTAACCTAGTACATATAGTACTCTGAACATGCAAATTATGCACACATAAAAGCCCAAAAGTATGTATGCAAGTGATCATGTGTTTAAAATTGCACATGCAAATAGAAACTGGGTTTGGTTCCTTTGCAAATTTGACTCACGAATGAGAATTTCCAAGCACCTCTCAATCAAATACATGAATAAACTAAAGGTGAATTTAACTGAATTAAATATAGACTTCAAATTATGCCTAAAACATATGAAAATTAAAAAATTGAAAATTGTTGCTTTTAATTACTTGACATAACCTTAATTCAGTATTTCTCTTACAAGGGTCAGTACCATCAAGAAGCCTGTTCCCTGGGACTGCACTAATTAAGAGTTGGTTATATCATAACCCTTCTGCAGGGAAATATTCTGACTATACAATGTTGAGCTGTGTAAATAACAAAAAGTTACCTTATTTACTCAAATTTAAAAATGAATGTGTTTCAGCTTTGCTTACAATTGCTTTCCACAGGCATTTCAGTTTTAATCATGAAAATAGTTGCAGAAAACAAATGTTAGGCCCCTACATTCAAGTGTTCAAACACACAGAATTTTAACTCTACATATGTAATTTTCAGCAACACAAATGATATGCTTTTCATGGGGTGGGTTATTCCTTCAGGGTATGTCTACACTACCCTCCTAGTTCGAACTAGGAGGGTAATGTAGGCATACCGCACTTGCAAATGAAGCCCGGGATTTGAATTTCCCGGGCTTCATTTGCATAAGCCGGGCGCCGCCATTTTTAAATCCCGGCT